CGAGAATGTGTGACGGTTACGCTTATATCCTAAATGTATTCTATTGGCGTGGCGACGGCAAAACAGTGTTTTCGCCCATACTGGAAGTAACGGCAATTCAAGATGGCGGCACCCTTGTGGAAAAGGTCTATACGGAGAAAGCCTGGCACATCGACGGCGGAGCCATAGGGCGCGCGGCCGCAGAAAAAAGGAGAGGAGGAGCGCGCGAAGCGGTGACCAATATGGTAGCGCAGAGCAGAAAGGGCAGAGATAGTGTGCGAGCGCTTGGGTCACGAGCGGCCGCTCCCCGAACCATGTTTGTTTTCGTGTTTTCGACACCTTCGTTATCGCACTCCGGGAGAAACGGCGGCGGCGATTCGAAAGGGCGCTGGCAACAATGCACCATGCCGGTGGCGTCGGCGGAGTTGTCGGCGTGCCAGCGGAGTGTGTCGTCGTCGGACCATCGTATCGTGCCGCGGAAGAACCATGCTGTTTTGACTAAAGGAAACCGACGGCCACGACCGTCGGTTTCGCGTTCAAGGACCGTTGCGGGGATGCGGGCGCAGGGAGAAACGGGAAAGGATCGACGTTGAGTTTCTCCTCTCCACGATACCGAGAGAAAAGAGGAAAAAAAAAAGTGTTTCTGCGTTTGGCCGCTCGCTCTTGTGTGGCGCTAGCAGGCAATCTCCCCTTCGCTCCCGATTCCCGGCCCCTCCTTTCCCATTTACGGCGGCCGTCTCTTCTCGCTACGTGCCAGGGTTTCTCCGTATGGAGGAGGCTATGGATTAACACGAACGAGCAATTGCCAAACCGACGAAAGAGCGATACGTGGCTCTGTAGTGGCGCTAGGAAGGTTTCCTGTTGGTTGTCAAGCTTATAGCAGGGTGCAGAACGGCATCCATAAGCCGTTCTGCACCCTGCTACAGCACGCTTTCGGAATACCGCCTTTCGGCCTCAGGCTTTTCTCGGCCAATTATGATTTTTCACGCGGACCCCGGTTCGATCGCTTGTTGCGAGCAGCGATATTTACGTTTTAATTCACAATTTTATCGTATTTGCTGGTTTTTAAGGCGGTAATCTGGCAAGGTTGATAGATGAGAGTATTGATGTAGCAAAAATATTATTGGCAAGTAAAAACCGTCTGCTGAAACACCACCGAGACTAACAAGCGCATTGGAGTCGATGCACCCTCGACTCTTTTCGCTCTCGGTGTATTCGCGAATGCAGGACAGTGAAAATCGATTTTACCTTTCAGGTCGTCGATTACTTTCGGCGATATTTTATATAGCCAACTGTACATCAGACAAGACGATGCTATAGTGTTTATAAGTATGTAGTTAAGCTCCGCAAAAACGCTGCCCCTTTTACTTTTTTACATATGTTTATAGAAGGACTCTTTGTATACTTGTATACAAAGAGTCTAATCCGAATATTAGGATATTGTATAGCTTAATCCGAATATTACGGAGAGGACGTAAGCACTTATATGAATTAGTATATGCCTGCATTGACAAGTAGGTAGTACGATGCTTGCACGAACACTTTTAGTTTGCGACTGGCACTTCCCTGCGAAACAACATAATGAATAGTTCTTTCATTGGCTGTATATAATGCCGCGCGCGCAGCTGGCCAAGTAGGCAGCGCGCACGTGGCCTAACGGTTATCGCGCTTGCCGCGCGCGCAGCTGGTCTAGAGTGTCGTCGATGCGGGGGAGTGGGTAGACGTCTTTCTTCGTAACCGTGTTGAGCTGCCGGTAGTCCACGCAGAACCGAAGAGTTCCGTCCTTCTTCTTAACCAGCACGACTGGAGAGGCCCACGGACTGCTTGAAGGTTGGATTATGTCGTCGTTCAGCATCTCTTGCACTTGCTCCTGGATCACCTCCCTTTCTTTAACGGAGACTCTGTACGGCGATCGATGCACAGGGCGCGCGTCGTCCTCGGTAACGATGCGGTGTTTCGCAACGGCGGTTTGGCGCAACCTCGACGACGTCGCGAGGCAGTCACTGTATTCGGCGAGGAGGTTAACCAGCTGACGTCGTTTAGGGTCTGGAAGCTTAGGGTCAATGTCGAGCTGCGCTGGCAACATACTGTCTTGCTGGGGCGGCGAGGATTCGTCAGTAATCCCGGTGATTTCGGCGGGGTTTCGGAGTTCCTCGACGTGGCCCACGGCTGCACCTTTCGTGAGGTGTTGCGTTTCGTTTCGGAAGTTCGTCACGAGGGCCACAGTCCGCCCATCCTGCAGTTCAGCTACACCCCTTGCGACGCCTATGCCTCTTCCCAGGAGCAATTGGAGGCTTCCCTGGAGAAGAACTTCGCCACAGGAAGCTTCATCGATCCCGACAAGTACGAAAACACTCGACCGCGGTGGTAGGTTTACGTGGTCTGCGAGGACTCGGACCGTGCGTGACGTCGCTTGGGGTTCCTCCGCTGGTGGAGCAGGTTTTCGTAGCGTCAGCCGGTTTGTTCCGAGGTCGATGACGGCGCCATACTCGCAGAGAAAGTCCATTCCGAGGATAACGTCCCTCGAACAGTCTTGCAGAACGACGAACTTGACAGGGCACGTTTCACCGTGGATCTCGACGCGAGCAGTGCATCTCCCGACTGGTGTGATGAGATGTCCTCCGGCGGTTCGTATTTGGGGCCCTTCCCACGGCGTCATGACTTTTCGAAGGCGGCGGGAGAGCCTCCCACTCAAGACTGAGTAGTCTGCTCCGGTGTCCACGAGTGCCGATGCGTCGTGGCCGTCGATGACGACGTTTAGGTTGTTGGACATTGTTACAGGGGCGTCGTAGCGATGCGTGGCGTCGGGAGAGTGGGAGCGCTCCAACGTTCTTGGAGGCTCTTTACTCGGGTCGTCTTCGGCAACGGCACCTCCAGGCGTTGCCGCACTTAGTTTTCCCGACGAGATAGGGGGGACAGGCTGTCACGGCGCGACCGACGGAAAGGCGACGCGGAACGTTGGGGGGATGGAGAACGGGAACCTCGTGGTGCGGTGGGCGCTGGTGACGGAGGGCGACGGAGGTATTCCTCGATGTCCCTTGGTCGTTCTCCAAAACGAGGTCGACGGTCGTTTGGAGCGAATCCTCGCAGTCCGAGCTGGCGGTAGGGGCACCTCCGGTAAACGTGGTCAGCCTCCCCACAGTGGAAGCACACCGGCCGTCCGTCATCCGTGCGCCACACGTCGGTTTTTTGAAGTCCACGCGGCTCTTGGCGCGGCGCGTACTGCGGCGAAGAGACTTCTCGTCGGGGTGCAGCTGGGTACTGCCGAGCAATAGGAGGCTGCGGACGACGAACAACGGCGGCATAGGTCACAGCAGGTGGTTCCGGTGCAGCGTCGGCGAGAACGTCTGGCTGGAGCGCTTGCTGGACCTCTTCTCGAACAATCTCGGCGATCGAGAGTGAAGCTGGACGTTCGGCGGCAGGTATCAGCTTCTTCAGTTCTTCACGGACGATGTCCCGGACTATCGGATCACCGGATTATTGGGGCTGAGGGCGCAGCTTGACGGCGTGGGTGCAGCGACGGCAGGAGCTCGATGGAAGTGAGCGGCTCGTGCTTGCAGGGCCCGTTCAATGTTGGTCGCCTCTGTTACAAACGTTTCGACGGTGGTCGGCGGGTTGCGGACGAGGCATCTGAAGATGTCATCTCGTACGCCTTGCATCAGGATCCGCAACTTCTTTTTGTCGGTGGCTTGAGGGTCGGCGCGAGTGACCAGGCGCAGGACATCCTCGACGAAACTGGTGATGGTCTCGTTTGCGCCCTGGGTTCTCATTCGAAGAAGGTCCTCGGCCCTCTCCCGTCGATACTGGTTAGTGAAAGTTAGCCTCAACTCATTCTTGCAGGCGGTCCACGAGATCAACGAAGTCTCCCGATTCTCGAACCAGTGCCTGGCCGTTCCTTCGAGCGCGAAGTAAAAAATAATAAGGTTCTGCAGGCGCTGGTCGTCCGTCCATCGCTTGTGCTGGGCCACCCGCTCGTACTGTTGAAGCCAGTCCTCAACGTCTTCGTGGGCGTCCCCGTGGAATGGCGTCGGAGTCTGAGGGACGACGGGTAGGTAGACGACGCAAGGAGCGGCGGGGGTCTGCGACTGGTTGGCCATCGTCGGCTGCCTGGTCCTGGGTGGTAAAAGTCCGTATTCCGGGTGTAGCCCTTGGGTGCGGCGACTTGATCGAGTCTCGATCTGGTCTTCGTTGGGTCCTCGGGAGCTTGGGTTCGGACTTGTACTGCGGGAACTCGGAGGGCTGCGCTGCACGGACATGCGGTACCCCGCACCTCCACCAGAATGTCACGGGTGGTGACTAAAAAAACAATAAATAAACAGGAAGAAATAAACGTTTAATGTGGCGAACTTTTGCCAAAAATAAAAGGGTACAAAAGATAATAACAGAGCGTCGCGGGCGTCGAAGTCGGCGTAGCAGCAGAGTCGAACGCTGGGGCGAAACTGAATGCAGATCGCCACGCGGAGCCCCTTATGTACACGTATGGGCTTCTGGAATAATCGGCGTAGAAGGTTCGGCGTGTAGAACATTCTGACCTCGAACAAGCAACATGGTTCTCGAATTTACCAGAACATTACTTTACAGAGTCAACAAAAATGTGCCTCCGCGGCCAGGAATCGAACCCTGGCTTTCAGTGTGGAAACCAAGCGCGATAACCGTCAGGCCACGCGCGCGCTGCCTACTTGGCCAGCTGCGCGCGCGGCAATATATTGTTATAAATAAACATTTTATTATTCAAGAAATATAGGTGAGTTTATAATACATTTAGTTTTGAATATGCGGATTGTTGTCGTAACAGGAATGTGGTAGATAATTAAAATAACCACGTAGAACAGATATCAAACACACTACTTACATTTGGCTGAGTTATTTGATAACAATGAGCTCCCTTTACTATCTCAAAAGTCAGAAAACACGATCTCTTTTTAGAGTCTTAGTACTGTGGAAACACACTGTGCATATAGTGGAAGAAGTACCTGAACTTTTTTTTATTGTTTAAAAATTAAAATAAAATATAACACGTTGATTTCTCGCTGGAACAACTTTATTTTGAGGCGTGAACGCTGTCTTGACTTTTATCTGGATGAAACACACTTTTCAGCTTTGCAGATCTGGGGGTATACAAGCAGATACATACTTTATGGCATTTAAAATTTAACAGCAACCAATAAGCGAGCGATGTACAAGAATATATATATTTTTATTAAACAACAGATTTCATAAAACAGTAAGAGTTCTTTCTGTCAATGGCACCTTCACTCTGTGTTTATAAGTCTCGGCAGCGAACAAGATTGAATATACCATTCATATTTAGTAAACTAATTAGCTAAATATTTCACTTAATTTTGTAAATACTGGGTATACTTATAACTGAAGTACTGACGGAAATTACTTTTATATCCTAGGCATATTTAAAGATTCGAGAAGATGACAACAAGTCTTGAGATAGTCATTAATCTCTTGTCGCGTTCTTGCCATCTGACTTCGAAAATTCATCAAGGAAAGGCACCGCGAATCTTGAGCCCAATCATGTGTTAAAAAAATGTCGTACTCGATGTTTGGGCGCCACGTTGTTACATTCCGGCAGCGCGCCGCCGGAGCATTTACTAAGAACCTGCTCTCAAAATCGTAACGACGTGACTTTATCGACCACGTCACTCTTCTAAGTATAACTGTGCGCAGGACTTTCGGCACACTTTCTGCATTGAGTTTCGAAATCGGGTTGACACAAACGAGAAAACCGGCCGATTCACATCATACCTTCCCGTTCACGCAAATTTGTTCAAGTTGTTGTATGCGTCTAATAGCAATTGCCTCCTATAGTCTAATTGCAACATAAACTATAAAACAATCAAATAAAAATGTACTTAACATGTTTAAGCTCATTGGCGCGCTCATTGTGACGGTTGCTCTCACATCTAGTGCCTGACGAGTTCGGAAATAACGAAAAGGGTATCGACGTAGCAGTGAGTCACATTAAAAGAAATCTGTTTACATTCTAAAACCTCGCTATGTATATTGGCGAATGAACTCTTGTTCACCACGGACAAAATCAAGTATTGAGCCTACCTTTCTATTACCGCAACTTGTGCCGTCTATGGCCACTTCTTCTAGTAGCCAATATTGTAGATTTTGTGGAGGCGTTCTGCATCGCAGAATACATTTTTCCAGCTTCTTATCCTGCAATATACCGTAATATATTTTATAGTTTTTGCCATACATCGTTAAATGTAGACATTTATATTGAGTGCTGCTTTGGCCGCTTAGAGTAATGACTTGCAAGTATTATTTATTACAAATATCATTAACATTTATAAATGGTTTCAATCTCGACGAATAGCAGTAATACATTCCCACTATTTGGATGGTTATTAACTTTTGTTAACGTTTTTCGTGCAAAAATAAAACTTTAGATGATCCTTGTAAATAAAAATTACTGTTGAGATTATATTCACTCAGAATTTAAAAAAAACGCAGGGCGCGGTGAGCCACGGGTGCCTTATTAAAGCTGCGCAGTCAAATTAATTGTAGCATTACCCACTAAGGAGATTGAAGAACAGAATACAAAGCAAGAAGTGCGAACACAATAGGCCATGTCCTTAGTTTTTATGCTGCCACTGACTATAGCCTCTTTGAAATAAGGACGTCGATGTTACTCCGACAATCGTAAAGGTATGAAGGAATAAAATAACAACTTGTTTCTTGATATTTGATTTTTGCAGGATACGATACTTATTTCGTCACTGATCAAACGTGTTTCCACTGTGTAGGTTCAGACATATCCCGATTGGCGCCGTTTGCTTGTCTTAACCGCGAGATAAGAGGAGCAAGAAAATCGCCTGACTCCGACACTCTGTCAAGTGTAATGAAGGTTGGATAGCACTAATACACCGCTCCTCTACACTCAAAAAATAAAAATAAATCGTACTTGAAAAGTGCTTTGTCGCTCCAAGAACTCTTTCAGCTCGTGAAGCACGGTTTCGCCGTAAGCACTATCATCCCCTGGCGCACTAGAAAGGCAACTGGGCGATGAACAACTCTCTCGCATCGAAATAGAGCCTAAAATAACCCATTATAGGCTGTTTTCACGAAGACCCTTTCGAGGGGGGGGGGGGGGGGGGGGCTTAATATAACTTTATAGGGAGAAAAATATGGACAAGCTCAAGAATTACTAAGAGCTCTTCTACGACCCGATTTTCTATAGTGAGTACCCTAGTACGCATCCAACGTTTCTGCGCAGTGGAGTGGGTAGGAAGAAATGTTAGCGCGTTGCTGTCGCCACCGCCAACTCCGCTTGGCGCGACGCCATCGGTCACACGCGCTACGAGGTCAATCCAACATGTTTCGTTCGTTGCCGACACTCTCTCTTATTGCCTTGCTGTGGTGTGACCAATTTTTTTTTCAATAAGCCAATAACAGCTCTGCGTTCTGACATAATCGCAACGTCTGTGCAAGAAGCAGACTAACTTGGGTTCCGCAGAGCTTTAAAAGTTTGGTACCTCCGCAGGCACCTCTGCGAGATGGATAAGCTCCAAATGAAGAATGTCGACAAAAGGCCACAGACATTTCTATTTATTTTGGTCAAAAGGATATTTATGCGTGCTGTTTATCCGATTGTACAGTAAGGCACAGCTAGTCTAGTTAGGTGGGCTATTTCTACTGTCATTGCACCAAAGAAATTTAGCTACCGTTAACAGAGGTTGGACTCAAGTGACCTGAGACAAAACTAACGGGTCTTTAGCTCAAATAAAAAAACAAGAATACAATTGAGTCTGGAATGACAAAAACAGTTTAAAAGTAAGTACTGATCATATGCGTACTTTATTTGCAACAAAACGTAGACTTTGACTAACTCTTGGTATTTATAAAAGCAAAGAAAATGATCTGGTTATACAATTTAAACCGGTATGCTACTGAAACTCTGTACTACACATGTCAATTAGACATTCTTCCTAACACCAACAGCAGATAAATGTAGCACTATCTACCTGATCTTCATGGTATCCACCAGGCTTATTACTTGCTTCAAATTTTCTTCTACAGGTTTCGTTTGCACTCACAAAATCCCCAGGCAATCTCGTTTCTTTTTTAATCCTACACGATTCAGTCTTTAGGCACAAAGTGTAATCTAATCTGGAAATAAAAATGCATGAAAATAAAAACGAGAATTTTAGTCTCATACGCGATTGTGTATAATTCTGGGGAGGGGGGGGGGGCTATGGCAAACTTAGACTAATATTTTTAACACAACTCCTAGGCTTCTGAAGAGTTGTCAGTCGTTTCTACAAAACCGCTGGGATCTGTGCCTATCAAAACTTACAGCTTGGCTACTTCAACTTCGAAACGTTCAAGAAGGCTGCAGTAACACTGTAGTGCTCCGGGCCGGACGGCCGCGGAAGGGGAGAAACCCAGACAAGAACCAGACTGTGTGCCAATCCGGAAGAGAATGAATTTTACTTGTCTCAAGCCGTGCTGTACATAAACAAGGTGGTGGCGCCATCTCGTAGAAGGCGCTAAAACTACGACTCGTCACAGGGTGTCGCTGTACGACACTACATCCACTCCCCCCTTAAGAGTTTATGTGCTGCTTGCACAACGCACATTAAAGCAGACCTGCCTGCAGACAAATACAGTCGCTGTCTGCAAAACACTAGCAGTCACTGTCTGCACAACACTAGCAGTCACTGTCTGCACAACACTAGCAGTCACTGTCTGCACAACACTAGCAGTCACTGTCTGCACAACACTAGCAGTCACTGTCTGCACAACACTAGCAGTCACAGTCTGCACAACACTAGCAGTCACTGTCTGGAAAACAACCAGTCACTATTTGAATAACATAAGCAGTCACTTTCTGCAAGGTACGAACAGTCACTAAACATAGTCCAGAAGACGTTGTGGTGGGCGTCGCTCTCTAGAAGATCGTCGCAGTACGTGCTCTCCTTCTCCTTCCTGGCCATGCATCGGTGAACTCTGTTCCACCTGTGGCGCTTGAAGTTCTGGTTGCGCACTGACCGGTGACTGGGGAGGCGTGCCCACTGGTAACGTGGTGGGAGTCGACCCAGACGTGCCAGGTAAGTCTGTGTTGTCATACCAAGGAGAACTCTGCAGCAAAGAGTCTTGGTTCGGCCATGACTCCCTGGGCACTGCCGATAATTTCGACCCATTCCACGTCCGTCCGTCTTCTAGAAGAAACGACCAACGCCCAACGCGCTTGAGGACCTTCAACGGTGGTCCGAAAGTGGGGGTACCCTTTGGGCCATGAACTTGTCTTCGCACCCTCACAAAGTGACCCACCTGGAAGCTCGGGGCCTTAGCAGCGCGACGCCGGTCGGCATATGCCTTACTCTTTGCCTGTTGGTCTCTCACTCTCTTGCGAAGGCGACGCATCTCCCGGGCAAGATTGGAGTCGAGCTCAGCAGCGGGAAGGCCAACGACGTCAAGTGCTGTCCTCATGGGGCGTCCGTGGAGCAGCACAGCAGGAGCCAACCCGGTGGTGGAGTGTGGTGTAGCCCTGTAGATACCCAGATACTCGACGACGGTAGACTTGAGTGGTCGTCGTTCCAGCAGCACCAACTGGATATACGACTTTAGCACCCTGTTGAACCTCTCCACCAGGCCGTTTGCCTGGGGGTGGTAGACTGACGAGAACGAGTGCTTTATTCCTCTTGCTTCGAGGAACGTCTCAAACTTTCTTGCTGTGAACTGTCGGCCATGGTCGGAGACGATCTCTGTTGGGTAGCCTTCTCGTGCGAAGACGGTAGACAGGAAATTCGTGACTGTCTGAGATGTGATGTCGCTGCCGAAGGCAACCTCCGGCCATTTTGAGTAATAGTCCACAACTGAGATGGCGAACCGGCAGTTCGCTGGTGCTTGCTCGAAGGGGCCTACGATGTCGATGGCGACCTTGCTCCAAGGTCTTTCGGGCAGAGGCACTGGCTGGAGCGGTGTTGACGCTGTCTTGACACTCTTGTCAGCAGACTGGCAGACTGTACAGCTGCGAATGGTGCCTTCGACTTGCTTGTCTAATCCAGGCCACCAGAACTTCTCTAGAATGCCTCTTTGTCTTTACAATCCCAGGGTGGGACTCGTGCGCATTCTGCACGAACGTCGCCGTTAGCTTGGCCGGAATTACGAACCGTTCCGAGCGCAGAAGCAGACCGTCGACCACCGACAACTCGCTGCGGACCTCATAGTATGGGACCAGGTCTGCAGTCAGGTTCTTCCGAGCAGGCCACGCCGTCTGGACACAGTGCATGACGTTTTGTAACGTGCCATCCGCCTCCGTGGCACGTTGCAGGTCATCCCGATGCACAACGGATGTCACCAGGGCCACGACCTCTTCTTCGGTTTGCTCTCCCCCTTCAGTGCCTGGCGCTGGTAGTCGAGAAAGGGCATCTGCCACTTTGTTGTCGGAGCCGCGACTGTACTCAACCTTGAAGTTGTAGCAGAGTAACCGTGCTGTCCACCGTGCGATGCGAAGAGGACGCTGTCCCGTGCTTCGTGCAGAGAGCAGGGCCACTAAAGCCTGGTGATCCGTGAGAAGAGTGAACGGCCGTCCCCACAAGTATGTGTGCCACCTCTCGCAGGCCCACAAACAGGCCAAGGCCTCTCGCTCACCTGCCGAGTTCTTCCGCTCGGCTGTGGTCAAAGTCCGTGACGCGAAGGCAACAGTGCGAGTACGAGGCCCGTCGACCTGCTGTAGGACGGCACCCAGGCCATATGCAGAAGCGTCTGTGGCAACTACGACAGGGAGCGCTGGGTCGAACATACTTAGCACTTGGTGCGAGGCGAGGAGTCTCTTTACCCTGGTGAAGCTACCGTCCGCTGCGGCATCCCAGACGAAAGGAACACCTTTCCGCAGTAGTCGGCGCATCGGCTCTGCCTCCTCGGCCAACCTGGGGACGAACCTGGCGTAATACTCAACGAGGCCCAAGAAAGAACGCAGCATGCCAGGCTCAGATGGGACGGCTGCGTGGGCGATCGCGTCGACCTTGGCCTGAAGGGGTGCTATGCCTTCAGCGCTGACACAATGTCCGAGAAACGAGAGCTCAGATGAGTTGAAAACGCACTTCTCTTTGAGCTTGAGTCCGGCCTTGGAGATCCGATGAAGAACTTCGCGGAGGTTCTCGGTGTGCTCTTGCAGAGTCTTTCCGAAGACTATTATATAATAATAATAATAATAATAGTACCTTTATTTTTTCCAACAAAAACAATGTTGAAAAGGTGACTTGGGAAAAAAGCTGTAAAAACAGCTTGACGAGCCCCAAACCACCTACACCAGCAGTCGCGATGCAGGCACTAAAGATTTATACAAAATTGAAACATGACATGTGTACTACATGTTTGAACAACTTTACAAAGAAAGAACTGACGCTAAACAAGATAAGTAGCATATTGATACAGTTTACACAATAGTGAATACACACACAGAACGTTAAACACCACTGAAATAAACGCGAAAGAAACCATCGATTCAAAAGATTTTAGCGCTTATCACGGACAATTTGGCTCGAAATAAACATTTGAAATAAACATTTCTCGTAAGATGCTCACCGATATATTGCTAAGCTCAATGCCTTGCCTACTAAGCTGGTTAAGGGTAGAGGGCAAAGTATATTTTAAACTTTGGTGGCCGTAGTTTGTTCTAAAAAAGGGTACTTCCCAAGGTTCTTTAATTCGTGTTGGGTACCTATAAATTTTTTCTGTTAGCTTCGCTAAGTTTTTAAGGTGACATTGGGATAAATTTGTTTCTATTTTATACCTTGCACATAAACGATATTTATATAAATCAAAAATTTTCATCACACCAATCTTACAAAAAAGATCATCGGTTGGATGTTCTAGTGGCACATTAGAGATACTTCTTAATATCTTTTTTTGTAGCATAAGGATTTTGTGGAGGTTGGTATAGGTAGTAGTGCCCCATATGAGTTGACCATAATTTAAATGTGAATAAAATAATGAATTATATAATATTAACTTTGTTCTAAGTGGTAGGATGTGTTTATGACGGTATAGAATACCGACGATGCTAGATAACTTTGATATGATTAATATGGTCGTCCCATAACAAGTTTTCTTGAAAAATAACGCCCAAAGTTTTAAACGCGGGAAAAATTTCTATTTGAGAAGAATTTATAAAAATATCCTTGGTAATATTAATATGTTTATTCTTAGGTCGGAATATAACTGCCTTTGTCTTACCGGCGTTTATTTTTAATGCATTATGTCTACTCCATCTATTAAGCTTTTCTAGTGTTTCGTTCGCGTTATCAATGAGCTCCGACACATCATTACCATCAAACAATAGGCTTGCATCATCTGCATAAATAAAAAATTGAGTTAAGTGACTAATATTTACGATATCATTTATATATACATTGAATAAGAATGGCCCGAGAATGCTTCCCTGCGGAACCCCCGATTCAATCGGTTTTATTTCAGATGAGTGCCCGTTTATATGAACATACTGTCTGCGGGAAGATAAATATGAACGTAGAAGTTTTGATACATGACCACGGAATCCATACATATCTAATTTCTTTAGTAGCAAATTATGATCTAGATAGTCGAACGCTTTAGTGAAATCTACAAATAAGCCGAGAGTGAGTTTCTTTTGTTCAAAATTTCTAAGTATATGTTCTTTTTGCGCAAGGAGAGCAAGTTCTGTGGATCGATGCTTTCGAAAACCAAACTGCGACGAGCTAATCAAGTCATGATTATCAGCAAATGTTGTCATTCGAAGTAGTATAACCTTTTCCAAACCCTTAGAGAAAACAGGAAGGATTGAAACAGGTCGATAATTGCCCAGTTCGTTTTTATTTCCTTTTTTATATAACACTGTTACCTTCGCTAGTTGCATTTGACAAGGAAACACACCGTTTATGAAACAGAGATTGAATATCTGTGCTAAGGGAAGAGAAATAAGATCAATTACGTATTTAACTGGTTTGATCTGCAATCCATCGGAGTCGCAACTTTGGCTATTTTTTAGTACATTAAAGACAGATATTAGCTCTGAAGCCGTAACAGGCATAAGAAACATAGATTCATTATTTCGAGCATTAATATATTTGCAAGCATCTGACTCTGGACGTTCTTTAACTAGATTTACATAATAGTCATTAAACGCATTTGACAATGCTTGTCCTGACAGCTCTTGATCATTGTGGCTGATCTTTAAAACGCTTCGTGGCGCACGAACGACCCAACACAGAGTTTAGTTTTTTCCACATAACGTCGACTCTGTTATTACAAGAAAGAAAAAAGTCACAAAAATAAATTTTCTTTGCATTTTGGAGTTCTTTGTTTAATTGGTTTCGATAACGTTTAAATACTATTAGTTGTTCCATTGATTTTGTTTTTACAAATTTTTGAAACAACGCGTTTTTAGTACGAATTTTTGTGCGCAATTGTTTTG